ACTTGACTCAAGGAAATAATAATATCATTCTTGTCTTCTTTATTCGTGCCCGACCTTCATTTTGAGTCTAGCTATTCTGTTGTTTATTGTTCACGGTGGAACCCGAACTGTTATCCAAGTGAAGGATATCATCCAAGGCAGAATTAGTCAATAACTGCTGTCTTGAGAGTACCTAAGGGCCTTAGGTACTCTCAAGACAGCAGTCTTTCTCAAGACTCCGATGGCCTTAGACTAAGGCCATCGGAGTTGGTTTCAGCGAAACCATCGTTCTGCGCTGTTCATGCACTTTCCGTGCAATCTTACTGACAGTTCAGATATTTACTGATAGATTCAGTCAGAGCCCTTTTCAACCACTATCTCAGCATTAAAACTTCAATTCCACCAGGCGAGCGAGTTCGTGCCCCAAGATACCCCTATTGAAACTCCAATTTCGACGGTGCGCGGTTTAGGGGACTCCAATTTCGTCAACATATCGGTTTAGGAACTAAGCCTTCGTGACGAAGGGGCGGAGTTCACTGAGTCCACGTCAATGGACTCAATCAATGAATTTTACATAGGTCCCTGGTTCGATCCCCGGCTGGGACATTTCTCCATCATCAGTCTATCGTGCATATCTCTTCGAGCTGTTCGCATAATCGAGTTTTCCCAACACCTCCGCATATAGAGAAGTTGTCTGAGCTATCTGATAGCCTCCCACGCTTCGTAGTTAAGCCAGAATAATTCTGCACGCAGACACGTACGCACGCACAACTCGAAAGTGCCTGTTGTTGCGGTATATGCTCCGCTCGCTTCGCTCGCTCCGCAACTTCAATTTCGCTGGCGCGTCGATTTAGGAACGCCAATTTCGACAAAGAGACCTAGGAGCTTCGGTTTCGAAATAATAGTAACTTCTTCTTCGCACGTAGGAACATCAAACATCAACACCATAGTGGTAGGATTCGTCAGGGCCTCGACAGCCTGGAATTTCGAGATCCACCTTATCTCGACTATACTTGTTGGAAACTGAATCTTACCGTAGATACCCTGCAATTTCTTCAATTCTTTTATTCTGGTTGTACTCCTGTTGAAGAGAAGGTATGCCGA